AAAAAGATGTAGGTCGAATGATATCAATACATTGAATGTATGAATATGTAATATATTCGAAGCGAAATAACTGAATGAAAAGACTGCATTAGATATAAATATATACTCAACTGAATGTGAATAAATAAATGAGTGAAATCATTTAAGCATTACAAATACTTACTCATCTCCGAACTCAACATAGTAAGTGATATGATAAAGATACACTTTTAACTCTAGTTGGGAGATTCTCTAACCGACAACCATCACTATGAGCAACGTGATGATACAACATCTCGCCCACGCTGTCAGAATTGTCTTATACCTTGCCGGGATATAGGACATCTCAACTAAGTGTATCCACTAAAGCTCTGCTCAAATGCAATAATAAGGACGCAAGAAGCAAAAAAAACTTGCACGAAGGACGTTTTCTTCTCTGCCCTCTCCTCTCCAAAGGCCAAGGGAGAGACTGCATCCCTTTCCTTCGGTAGCTCTTTTGGTTTCCTAAGGATAGCGGTATCTGGGGCAAAGCTCGCTTTCTTTGCTCCGCGAATGAGAGAGAAATTCAGAGGAAAAATACGTTCTCTCTTTGCGAGATCCAAAAGTGGAGAACGCATAGCATTCTATGGGTACATAGGATCAAACATAAAGCAGCGCTCTCTTGGCAGAGTTTTAGGCGGCAAGAGACTTTAAGGCTTGTTGGAGCTTCTGAGCGTAACGAATTGAAGCCAAAGACGGATCAAGGTAGCTTCCCATAATGACTACATGGTTTATGAGGAATGTGAGTTTTTTGAACTCATGCACATATCGATGCTCAATACTACTCCCAATAAATATATACTCATGCTGAAATATATAAATCATACTCTTTCTCAATTTGAGGCAACTGCTCAAAATATCCTTTTAAAAGAGGTAAATGCTTTGAAATATCTCTGTACTCATTAACCCATTTAGAAATCAAAATTTATCTTTTCTCAATGTAAAAAGTGATACATTTGAAAATACTTAATTCCCTTGTACTCTTACTTTTTTTCTCCCTTGTTTTATCATAAATTGAAAAAAAAAAAAATTCAAATTTAAAATGGTGGACAAGATCCAAGAAGAAAAAAAATGGAAGAGAGAGGAAGTGAAAGGGGGTGGGGGGTGGGGTGGGGTGTAGAAAGTAGAAGACTAACATTTTTTATTTATTTACTATGAAATTCAAAATCAGGTCAATCATATGATCTTATATATTAACTAATTCCAAATTATTTAACGGAGAAGGGCCAAAAATACCCTTAAAATGTGGGGTTTGATACAATAGCCCATCATCCACTTTATGAGAGTGTGCCATTAAAAAAAAGGATATTTTAAAGTCAAAATATTAACGTCAGGGGTATTAGGGAGCTGAAAGATGGACGGAGGATAATTTATACCAATCCAAATAGTTGATTGACATTTTAGGCCTTTCTCCGTTAAAAATATTATAAATCACAACAATTAACACTTCAAAATATTTAACATACATATGAATAAATAGTCCCCATATATTTTCTTGTTTGACAATCAAAATTTATACTATGTTATATAAATTGGGACATATGAAGTAATAAATAAAAAAATAATAAGTCACTCTCTTTTTATGTTGTTGTAAATTTGATTTTTAATCTGTCAATATAAAAAGAAAAATTAATTTGATTTCTTATACTGTTTTAATTTTTTCTTCTATTCGATAACCTATACTCACATTGAGTTTCGAACAATCCAAATCCATGTTATGTAAGGTCAATTAAAGTGGGAAAAAATGATATTCTACTAAAATTATTTTTCACATTTTGTGATTATATTGTAATTTATTTTTGTACATGAGAAAAAAAATCGAGGCATATATGATAAATTTTATAAGAAAGATTGAGTGAAAAATGAATTTGATCATTAAGATGATAAACTCAAATTGTTCATTGAATTTAAAAAGACAAAAAAAAAATAAAAAAATAATTAGACTCTTTAACTTTGTGAAAGGATCAAATATACCTACATAGAGTTTTTTGAATAAAAGAAAATAAATAAAATTGAGATGAAGTTTAAACACAATTACTATAATCTTCCAAAATACAATTATATATAAATTAGAAACAAGTTATTATATTTTAAAGACATAATCGTGAATGCTTCCTTCCCCGAGTTTTTCTGCATAATAGCAAAACGAGTAGATACGTTCATTTTCACACAAATAAAACTTCAAAGACAAACGCTAAATAGAAGAAGAATAAATAACGGTGGCCGTCTCCGTTTAGCGCATATTAAAAGAAAATGAATGCGGAGGAGCTGAGACGGATGTTCCAAATATTCGACAAGAACGACGATGGACATATAACAATGAACGAGCTAAATGATTCATTGGAGAATATGGGTATATTCATTCCGGATTGTGAGTTAGCCCAAATGATACAAAATATTGACGTCAATGGCGATGGATATGTCGATATTGATGAGTTTGGTGCAAACTATTTTTACGGATGAAGAGGAAGACATGCAAGAGGCATTCAATGTGTTTGATCAAAATGGAGACGGATGAGTTGAAGTCAGTGTTGGGATCGCTTGGACTCAAACAAGGCGGTAACGTTGAGGATTGTAGGAAGATGATCAACAATGTGGATGTTGATGGAGATGGAAGGATTGATTTTATGGAGTTTAAGAAGATGATGATGAGAGGGGTAGGTTTTGCTAGTTTTACTTAAAAAAATTTTTGTCTTTCATAGTTTGTCACATGTACAAAATTGCTTCCAAATATTAGTTTTTAACAAATTTTCTTTTAAGCAAAATCATTCTTGGTTCACTAGATGGTATACATATCTAAAATATTATTAGAGAAATTAATTTGACGTTATGTATTGTGTTTTATAAAAAAAAAATCTAAATGAATCTCATTGTGATATATTAACTTGACAATTTGAATTTGTTAATTTCCACTAAACAAGCATGACCCAATATTTTTGTATTTTCTTGGAAATTGTTTTGACGAGGGTGAAACATTTGAATAACAAACTTTTAGTATCAACATAGGTGTGAGGGGTGGATTGGATAAAATCCTTCTATCCTTGATCAAAAATTTTGAGTACAAGTTATGAGAATATAAATTTTTTTGGTAGAAAGTATTTCTCCACCAATGCGACACAGTCTTACAAATGAATATCATATATTAGATGGTTATTTAAAAAAAGAGTTATTTCATGTCAAAAGCATGCAACATAAAAATAATGGCACAACTCAATCCACCGGATCATGTGGGCACCTACTCTATCACCTAAACAGGAGAATCCTTATCTCCAAAACTGAAACATTAAATGCGGAAATAAACAAAACATAATCTAACACCCTATTTAAAAGTAGAAATACTCTAAACTTGATTTTTAAACAAGTTCTTTTAAAGAAGGGAAAAGGCTCAAAAATGCAATCGAACTTTTAGAAAAGGCTCATTTATGCCATCCGTTAAAAGTTTGGTTCATCTATGCCATTACCGTTTAAGAAAAGGCTCATTCATGCCATTATTTTTTAACAGTGGTTTTGCAAAACCATTTTTTACATGTGGCCAATTATAATTCGGCCACGTCATTATTTTTTTATAAAAAAAAAATCTAAATAAAAATTGAATTAAAATAACCCACCCAATTTTTAAAAAAAATCCCTATAACCCATCAGTAACCCAATTCGTTCATTCAATTTTTCAATCCAAAAAGCCCTAAATTTCGGAGGTTCCATGTCAAGTTCAACTTTCGATCGACAAGCTTTTGCGATCGACCAAGATAATTGGAGTGACTGAGTAGCTCATGAAATTTCAGAGGTTCCATGTCAAGTTCAACTTTCAGTTTTCTTCACTATACATTTGCTTGAGCAAATATGTAATAAACTGGAATCTGATGATGTACAACAATGTCCTATTTCTATTTGAAACGCTCAAATAATGCCACTATTTGTTATGTTTAAAAACAATAAAAAACCTATGTCGATTTGTTCTAAGAAATTTGGACTCGAGGAGTTGACATCTTGTTTGTTTTCGCATGTTACCATGCTAGTGTGCTTTTTGGATTGAAAAATTGAACGAAAGAATTGGGTTACTGATGGGTTATAGAGATTTTTTTTTAAAATTTGGGTGGGTTATTTTAATTCAATTTTTATTCAGATTTTCATTATTTTTTTTTAATGACGTGGCCGAATTATAACTGGTTACGTGTAAAAAATGGTTTTGCAAAATCACTGTTAAAAAATAATGGCAAGAATGAGCCTTTTCTTAAACGGTAATGGCATAGATGAGCCAAACTTTTAACGGATGGCATAAATGAGCCTTTTCTGAAAGTTCGATGGCATATTTGAGTCTTTTCCCTTTAAAGAAACATACCAACCCTTCCCAAGAAACTAGTCTAAACAGGTACAAGATCTTCTAAAGAGTACAAATGATGAAAGAATAAGACACAGCTCACACCATAAGGAAAGAGGAGTAGAAGTTATTAGAGATCATCATTGTGATCACCTATAAAACATCATTGAATCCTGCAACTAGACTATGCGAAGTGGCATAACAAGAATAGTATCAGTACAAACAACACATATTGATAGGCATCATCGTCCGACCCAAATTCACCACATAATATCATGCAAATAATCAAAGAAACATGCAACTTGAAGATGATATTAGGACCCATATACTCTAATCCAAGTCACACCACCTCCTTCCGTTGCAATTTAAATAGCCCGCCCTTATTTAAATTGATTTTTTGGGATTCATAATCTGAAAGCAATGCACATATTAAAGCTAAGAAAATATATACTTCTTCCATCTCATATAAGTTGCTATAATTAATTTAAAAAATCCAAGTCACATCACCAACTTCGTTACATAATGTTAGACATCAACAATTCGAATGATAAACCTATAAGAAAAGTAGGATACGAGGTAAAACTACTATGAATAATAGGTAAGGTGGAAGATAAAATAAGATTATTAATAAATAATAACTAAAGACAAAATGAGAAGAAAATACTACGGTAACGACGCGATCACACCAAATAGATCTTTTCACAAAATGGGACTTTCAGTCTGATGGATTTAAACGATATTATACAACAACATTATATTTAAACTTACAATGGAAAACAATCATCCAAACAAGGTGTTAAAATGCTTCATTCTGAAATTCTATGTCACATTTGATTATGTTGAACCCAATCAACACTTGGTATAACTTTTGTCTTAATTATATCCCAAATCCCTAATATTGTTTCTAACCTTTCCCTCTCATTCCCAAACAACAGAGCTTCTTCACACTTCTTGTTGGCTTTTATTATGATGAGGGGAAAGAAATAATTAACAAGTATTAATTGCAAGAATACTTAGTCCTTGAAAGTATTCTTAGACTTTGATCTCCTCCAATGAAGGTTGAAAGGTTATAGAATGTTTGAGGTCATCACCAACATGGATTTTGTGTTCTCCCATGTAAATTCTTCGTACTCCGTATTCATCAGCTACGCTAAGGTGTTTGCAAGCATTCATATTGATCTTGACCCTCTGATTAGCCCCAGCCACGACATGAACTTTCTCAAACGCGACTAGTTGTTTTGTCTCCGTGGGATCAGGTGGGGTTGAGAAAATGAGGACCGTGTGTGTTCCGTCCATGTCCCCTATGTTTTTTACATCAATATGCATGTCTATATCAAGTGACTCACAATTAGTATGTATTGTTCTCACTGTAGCTTTCGTTTTCATTAATGATGTTGTTGTGTTGTTCGATACAAGATCATGAGAGTGAAGAGTGGTTGGCACTGAAACAGTGATTGGCGCGGAGACTAAATGTTGGCTGAATGTTGTGTAGCTAAAGCCAGCCCCAAATGGGAAAACTGTTGGGCCTTTGTAGAATCTATAGGTTCTACCAGGATAGCCTTTTGTTGGATTTGCTCTCATGTCCATGTTTGCCATGGACACTTTAGCTACATAATCTTGTGGATACCATGTCATTGGAAGCTTCCCCCCTGAAATAAGCAAATTTCCAAACTATTATTGTATCACCAAATAAAATAAATACAATATATTCCTTCTGTTTTAAAAAGAATGACTTATTTTCCTTTTTAGTCTGTTTAAAAAAGAATGATCTCTTTCCAAACTATTATTGTATCACCAAATAAAATAAATACAATATATTCCTTCTGTTTTAAAAAGAATGACTTATTTTCCTTTTTAGTCTGTTTAAAAAAGAATGATCTCTTTCCAAACTATTATTGTATATACCACAATCACTGCACTTATCTACTCTGTAGTGTGACTATAAATCATTTCATTAAAGTTAAACTGTTACAGGGAGTCAGGGACGATGACCCACTGAAAGTGATATAATTAAGTATATACATACATACCTGGATTGGCTGCTCCAAATAGAACATCAGCAATGGCAGCTCCACCAGCCTGACCAGGATAGCCAACCCAAATAATAGCGGAAACACGAGGATCATTTTTGGCGAATGTAACATCAATAGGGCCACCGGACATCAAAACCAACACTACGGGGCCTTTAGAAGCCATAGCTACCCTAGAAATGAGGTCCTGTTGGTGTCCTGGCAGAAGAAGGCTAACTCTGTCTTTAGCCTCTGCTTCAATGGATTGATCAAGTCCCATTACCAACACAGTGGCATCAGCATGCCTTGCAGCCACTTCTGCTAATCCAAAGTTTTGATTCCCTGGACAAGCTACTCCCATACATCCTTGTTGATGAACTGTCCTTGCATATCTTGATATTCCTTGTAATGGTGAAATATAACCACATGGAACACCTATATACATATAACATTAAAGAGGAAAATTTAGAATGAGAATTCAGAATGTAACAAATGTGCCAATTTATGTACTGAAGTACAATTCTTGCAAGCATATAATATTTTTTATCAGATTCTGTTTTAGAAAGACTAAAATCAAGATATATTGAGAAGAGGAGAGAGCTTTCTAGTAAGAAACTTGGCCACTAATTTTCAAAAAAATGTCAAAGAAAGGATGGTATACTTACGTAAATCCCTCTAGTTTAGGAGTTAATTATTTAGATACAGTTTAATTTGTAATATTACGTATCTTACCAGACTTTGGTGCATCCAGATGCGTTTAGATATATCCATATATATATATATATATATATATATATATATGTATCTCAGAATATATGCGGCCAAATTTGTTCTAGATATACATGGTATACCCAAGTGGACTCGTTTGTATCTGGGATACATAACAAACTTCGCTCGCCTCTCTCCCATCTCGCTCGCCACTCTCTTATGTATCTGACATCCCATATACATGGATGCATAACAAAATCCCGTTCACCTCTCTCTCTCTATTTTAGTATATATGATAGCAAAAATACATGTATCTAAGTGTATCTTCTCAATATATGGTAGAAAACTCAAATATGATATTAATATATCAATTTTACAAAGGTTGGGGGGTGCGGGCTTCCGTGTTCGTTCTCGTATTCATTCTACCCAGTACGTTTGTAGTAAATATTACATATTCCTAAAACCTTGGTATTATTTCATGCAAGATCAATTCCCCTTTGTTATTTATTTATTTATATAAATAAGAAAAGAAAGAGAGTATATGAAATATTTACCAGCATAATTGCCAATCATGGTAAGTGTAGCATCTGAATTGGGCCCAATAACAGCAACGGTCCGGTGTCTCTGAGTGGACAATGGAAGAGCCCGTCCAATATTTTTGAGAAGAACAATGCCTTCACGAGCAGCTTGAAGGGCCAACTGTTGATGGGCTGGACTGCACACATCTTTTGGGCCCAAATTTGCATAAGGCCCATTTGGCCCATCAAACATTCCTAGACGCATTTGGACTGTAATTGTATTGGCTAAAGCATTGTTGATTTCCAATTCTGAAACTTTGCCTGTACGGACAGCCTCATCTGTGTGGATGGCTAGGAAAGGCCCACAGTCCAAGTCCAACCCTATACGATCATCAAACTAATAAGTGATAGTTTAGGTATGAAATTTATATTTAAGGAAACAACAAACACGAACCAGCTTTGATAGTGGCCGCTGCAGCATCTTCAGGGTAACGAGTATAATGTTGTTTCTCGAATAGAACTCCAACAGAATCACAATCTGATACGATGTATCTGTTTTACAAGGCAACAAGTTATTATTATTACAACACAACACTATAGTAGTAGGTAGCTTCTATAATCATTCAACTACAATATATTTATGTCTCATTTTTCAACCATAGTGATTAATCTTAAGTTCTTATCCCCTAACCTATATTTGTTTTTTAGTTTGCAAAGCAACTAGTTCATTCATAAAAAATAAAGGAATAATTAGAATGGACTAAGTTTATAGTACGTCATCAATATTTGGTACGAGTATTAATAAATTTTGATAGAGATATACATGCTTCCATATATATGTGTATTCTTTTCCAACAGTTTGAAACGTATTTAGCTTGAAAATGATGACTCGTGTGATAAAATGCAAAATAATTTTATCTCAATTCATAGAATAACTTTATTTATCTCATCTCATACCCGTTAAGGTGCCATTGGGAACGAATTGTATCACGGAGGAGAGTAGGGTCAGCACAAGATGGCTTTCCATTGATCTGGTTGTAAGAGCACATCACACTTGCTACATTACCTTCAACCACACATGCCTTGAATGGCACATTGTAAGTATCCTCTAAGTCCTGCATGCTTACCTACACATTTTAAATTAAAATGAAATTTTTCAACATTTTTTCCCTCTTCTATAATTTGGCGTATGTGAATTTGCAACACTTAAAACAAAAGAAAACGAATAAATGATGTGGTCAATCTCTACTATCAACCACCTCCATCATCATAACTAACACCACCAATTCATCATTACAACCACTAACACCACCAATTCATCATTACAACCACTAACACCACTATCAATCGCCACCATTATGATAGTCACCACAACACCTCCATCGTCACAACTAGATCACCACCATCCTTACTAGTAATTAATAACTACTTTTATCATCACCATCACCACCACCACTATAAACTATCTCCACTAGCAAGTATAAGTGTTTGTATTTTTTTTTAATCAAATAATGAATCTATTTTATTTATTATGTACTTATAAATAAATTATGTATGTTCAGATGTTGAAAAACAAACTATTTTAATAATTCAGTATTCAGATAAGGAAATCAAAATAGTACTAGCTAATTATTAATTAGATATGGTTAATTACCTTAGCATTGAAGTGGAAACGATCATAGCCATTCCAATCATCAAGATCATAAGCAGTGTAATGCTTGCAACAAGCAGCCACCTTCAAGCGGGTGTTGCCACTACCGCCGCCTCCTTGTAGTCCTTTTACGTAGCTAACGGCATATTGTGCAACCAAATGAGGATCCTCCCCTGGTGTTTCTTGGCCCCGTCCCCACCTTGGATCTCTTAATATATTCACATTTGGACTCCAAAATGTTAGTCCTGCTGCTCCTCCGTTATACATCGCTCTACCTTCCTCAGAAACCACCTGATCATATCAAAACAAATACTATCATGTTAATTTCATAAAAGGTGTCCAGATGCTAAAGTGAGTCTGCTCTTGTTAAAATGTGGAAAAAAGAGCTGCTACTAGTGAGTTTCAAACACATAATCATGTACTTAAAAAAATCAAGGGAAAAAAGACAAATATACCCCTGAACTATCGTAAATGGTATACAGATACCATTCGTCATACTTTTGGGACATTGGTGCCCGTGCCGTCCAAAAACTAGAGCATATATGCCCTTCACTCTAGTTTTTGGACGGCAGGGGCACCAATGTCCCAAAAGTATGACGGAGGGTATCTGCATACCATTGACGATAGTTTGAGGGTATATTTGTCCTTTTCCCCAAAGATCAAACACACAATCACTTTAAGTTTGCATGTTTTTGTTCTTTCAAGGCACCTGAAACCACAGGGCTACATCATATTGTTGTGTCAAGGGTGTCCAAATATATTATTTAATCATTTTGTTTATCATTTTACTTGTATATACAATATAATTTTCGACGAAGGGTGTCCAACATGAGTGTTGCTACGCACCTGACTCCAATCCCTCTATTTCATTTTTTTACATATATGTCTCGGCTTGATTGATATTAGAATAAAGAATTTGAATATTGTGCTCTTAATCTAAGAATGTATTTAATATACCAAATTGCTATATGACTTCTTTGATCTCTAGAGTCTAACCAATTTTATATATTTTTTGGCAACGTTTGTCTGTCATTGACAATAATTTCTCTTGTAGGCTTCGTTGTAAAACTCCAAAAAATTGTCCATCTCTAGGTCCTTACAAGGACCTTAAGGAAAGTGATGTAATTTAATTAGTCGAAAAATCCAAAAGAAATAAAGAGGAAAATAAGTGAAAGATAGAGACATTATTTTAAGGAAAAAGCAGTGAATTGGAAAAACTTATGGGGACCTTCAACTCTTAATTAATTAAGACAAAGTTTACACGCAAACAAGTTGCAACTCAACAAATTAATAAGACGTTTTATTAAGTACTAATGGGACCCAAAACCAACTATTAACAAGTTTTGTCCTAATTTTCATTTATTTACTTTTTCCATACAATGACAAAAGAAAAAGGTTGCGTTTTTTATAGTGCTACTTATTATAATAAAAAATAAAATAATAATATGAGTACATCAATTTGAAGAAAAATGACATCAAATTAGGAATTTGCAGCTGTACAATATTTTTGGAACTCTACGTCTTTAGAAATAAATTACTTATTAGAAGTAATTAAGACAACATAAATACATATATCATCCCGGTAGCTATTTTCATTTAATTTCTAGGTAAAGGTTTTATTCACTTCCAAAGATAAATGGATATATTTGAATCTATCTTTAGCCTACACCTTTAATCTATCTTTAGCCTACGTACACTTGTTGTCTATCTGTGTGACATGTTATTAATATTCGATAAAATGTTTGACTCGTTTAAAAATGAACTAATATTGAAGTAATACTTGATATTATATTAAAAACGGAAACTTCAAAGTGAAAAATTGAATTTATCTAAATATTTTGTTATTATTCACCTAATGAGCTATTTATTAAAAACAAAATATACTAAAATTATTTGAAGGGGTGTAATGCTTGTGATTAGTAACTTAATTATGTAAAGGGAGTAAATAGCGATTTCTATTTCTGATTTCTTTCCCATTCCACTATATCGTATTCAGTAAAATTACATAAATACACAACTTAAGATATCATAATCTCTAAAATTTCCTATCATTTAAAAAAATTATAAAAATCCCTTCTCGGATACATCCCTCCCCTCTAGGATACATCTCTCCCATTAAGTAATGCATCATTTGCAATATATCGGACATCCAAGCAATGTATTCGAGAGTAATGAAAAAATCAATTTTTTTGTAATTGGAAAAGCTTTCAGAATAGAATGTAATTAGTCTCTAAATATATGAGATTTCCGTAAGTTGGATAGAAGATAGATATAGTAATTGGTAAATTGTTTAAATTTGATTATACATAAATATTAAAGATACATGTGGGAGGTGGTCCATCATATTTGCATGAACACCTCATAGTGATATTGAGACAAAGAAAATGATAGCAACCTCCTCAACTTGCATCAACCATAACTTTGGCGTTTCCTTTCTTAATTAACTTCTTTGACGTTTTCTTTCTTAAATTTAATTCTTTGACGTTTTCTTTCTAAACTTAAATTTTTTTGACGTTTTTTTTCTAAACTTAAAATTCTTTGCGTTTTTGCTTTTCTCTCTCTTTCTAGTCTCTAGTGTGTGTAAATGGCAGTTTTGCTAACTAATTGTTGTTTTAACAGGAGTTTTGATATCTTTGATTTTGGTATTCTTTTTTTTTTGTTGTTGTTGTATTTGTAGAGTCATATTTTGGACAAGTTTTATTTTTTTAGTTTATTATTTCAAAAATAATAAATATATATAATTTTTCATGTTGTGTAAGGTACTTGCTTTCAAATGTATATTTCACTAATTGTTTTTCTCCATCATAACCCTTTTCATGATCCCCAAAAGAAAGAACTTATTAAATTAGTAAATATCAATATCATGATTAAGAAAATAATACATAAAATATCGATTTCATGACAACAGAATCTCCCCATTTTCCACCCACTGCCAGTGCAAGGACTTGCTTTTGGGCTATCTTTTTCTTTTTTAATATTTTGTGACCACACAACAAAACATGTATGCATGTGTAGGCATGGCCAAAACCTTATCCTTTTTTAAAAAAATATTATTATTATTATTTGATATACCTATTAGTTTTTCTCTCTTCTAAAACCCTTACGAAAACTGGAATACTTCTTTTCCAAAAACAAAATAAAATGTTAAAAGGGTTCAATTTTGTATATAGAATCTCACGGATGGCACTTTTAGATATTTGGGGTCTTAATACATGATAATAGTGGCACTTAGTATTGTTGAATGAAAGGAAAAAAATAAATAAATGTGTAACTTTGGACCAATGATAATAATAAGTTGGTAATATATCACATGACAGTTTATAATAATTAAGTCCTAACGTTCTGTATTGGACACTTTCAGTCTATATATATAAGTCACATGTGTAGAGTCTGCGGAAAATTACTCTCTTATTCATGACACAAACAAAATAAAACACTTAGCTCTATTGGTGGTCTGTGACCATTGTCTTCTAACTTATTAAAGAAAATATTGTATAAAATATAGACCTAGAATACAATATTCTAAAGAAACTATATAATGTACACTGCAGGTTCATCTTTTTTTACATGATAGAGTTTAATTTTCAAATTTCCTTAAATATATTTTGAGGGGAAGGACATCGGCTTAATTATATATCTATAATTAAAGTCCACTTCAATACTATATTTGAAATATCTTATCCTATTTATACTAGAGTTTATTCATCATATATATCGACATTACTATTTACTACAAATAAAGTTTTTTCCACCGCGAATTCATGGAAAGTTTGTACTACAAAACATAATTTCCTCACTCATTTTCCACCAAACTAGCTTAATTACTAGAAAAATGCTAGGTGGAAAACATATTCTAGCTAAAATATATGAAATCATTATTCCCTCTATCCCAATTTATATGACACGTTTAGTTTTTTGAGAGTCAAACAGTTTAAGTTTGACCGAAATTTTGTTCATGGTATCTTCAAATTTTTAAAAATGAAATTTATATATTTGTAAACTACGTAAAAAGTACTATAATTGACAATTTAATTAAAATATTTAAAAGTATAACGAAAAATTTACGGTCAAAGATAGACTTATTTGAATCTCGAAACCTGAAATGTGTCACATAAATTGGGACAAAGAGAGTACTGTTTTTTTTTCTCACCGATTAAATCAAAACAATTATGAGAATAATCATTGCAAATTTTTCACTGATTGAGAAAATATAGTTAAAAATCGTCCAAGCGAGTTCAATTTATAAAGTTATTTTCATGTAAAAGATTCTTTTTCTACGTAATGATAGCAACAGAGCATCAAATTCTTGTTTGTATTACCTAAATGTGAATTAAAATATTTCGATAAGATAAAGAGTGACACAAAAGTTGATTTTAATATGGATATATCCAAAAATTAATTAAAAGAAAAAAATTAAATTAACTTACCCGGCCAATTTCTTCCCACAAGGAGGCGTTAAAGGAAGCGGCAGTAGTAATGACTTGTGGGAAGCTGGTGGCGCCAGGGAAGGCGCCACCAAACTTAACACCATAGCCGGTGTTGGAGACACCGTGAAGTGCCTCCGACCACCACTCGTAGCCACTGACACCCAGCCTTTCCACTGGTGCAGCATTGTTCACTAACAATCTAATCTTCTCCTGCAACGTTAATCGTCCAATTAAGTCTTGTACACGCACGTGTATTGGTAGCGATGTCTTGCAGAAACGCAGGTTTCGTGTCCCTGCGTTTGCTGGGTCGCATGCAAATGGCTGCCGTCGTGACTCGCCGGAATAAGCAAATGCAAGGACAAAAATGAGAATAAAATATTTTTGACTCATAATTATTATGTGTGTATACAAATGGAAATAATAATTTTAAGTATGTGTATTATTGGCTTAACATATTTTGTTGGCTTGGAGAGATTGAAGAGGATTAGAAGGGTATATATAGAGGAGGTTGCGTTTAAGATGGTGACAATGGCGTATGAATATATATATATATATGAAAATGAAAGATGATATAGTGGGTAATCCTTGAGCTCTCTTATCTGTGGATGTGTAAAGTTAATGATAACTAGAATGAATAACTTATGTAATCGTCCAATTGGATTTGACTCCTCTTTATTTTTCTATATATTATTCCTCAGTTTCTCTATGTTGTTATTTAAATGAGACATATGTAATGAATTAAAATTAATAGCTAAGATTTAAACTAAAGCAAGATTCTGATATTGTTTGGATATTATAACAAATGTTTCATATATTTGCTTCCAACAATTTTAGTAATCCCTACACTAACGCAAGTGTATGTGATCATTCAAGTAGTATAGAATGGTTTAGTTTGGATCGATATCGTATTGAAATGTGATTTAGCAAAAGTCTAGTCAATTTTAATACCACGATTTTAGACAAGTAATAAAGTAATTCTTTATATTTACGTAAATTCAAAGTATAGCATTCCGAAAATTTCTAAGCTAAGATCCGAACCATTCTTCGTTTGCGTATAAGGTCGTATCGAATGATTTTTAAATTTATTTTAGGTGTTAACGTCAATTCCTTAGTGTGGAATAAATATGGAGATGAATTATAAAGTCACAAGAATCCCCTAGCACAAGTTGAGTTGAAAGCTTCCTTACCGATTGAGTTTATATATAAGATTCTACTTAGGTCAATTTCAAACGATCATATCTATCAGCATATAAAGAATTAGGTGTCCCATGACCTATCAAGTTAAGGTCTATGTGTCTTCTTTCCAACACCACCAAGTTTGCCTCATTTCAAGTTCAAAGTAAAAAGTTATGATTGTTTTACCAACGACTACCACAACAGAGTTTTCTGAGTTAGTAACCTACGAACCACTTCTACGGGCTGTAGAACTTTCTATGACCCATACTGAACAGACTACTCAAACTTTGGAAGACATGTTGAAAGCTTGTATGATTGACTTTAAGGGTAATTGATATGATACTTTTCTTTTGACTGAGTTTGCTTATAATAATAGCTATCACTCGAGTATTCAGATGACTCTGTTTGAGTCTCTCTATAGTAGGAGGTATAGATCTCTTATTGGTTGGTTTAAAATTGGTGATGTTGCTTTGATATAGCCCGAATTGGTTCATGAGGTGATGGAGAAATTTCAACTTATCATAGATAGATTGGAGTTGACTTAGAGTAGACAAAAATCTTTTGCGGATGTGAGAAGAAGAGAACTTAAATTTGCCGTTGATGATTGGATTTACACTAAAATCTCACCATGGATGGTGTGATGATGTTTGGTTAGAAAGGGAAGCTTGATCCCCATTATGTAGGCTCATATCAAATTTTGAGGCATTTTGGTAATGAGTTTATGGGTTAGATTCGCCTTCAGGTTTAACATCAGTGTATCCGGTGTTTCATGTATTCTTATTGAAGAAATGCATGGGTGATCCGAGTTGTGCCTTTAGAAAGTGTTGGTGTGAAGGAAAGTATCTCTTACGAAGAGGTACCAGTTGAAATTCTAGACCGTCAAGTTCGTAAGTTGAAAAATAAAGAAGTTGCTTCTGCGACAGTCCTTTGTAGGAATCACTTAGTTGAGGGTGCTACTTGAGAGGCCAAAGCCGATATGATTGCCAAGTACCCCATCTCTTCCCCTCCGGTCAGTTTCATTTTGAGGTATTAGATCATTTTATGTACTATTTGGATTCATGCTTTTCACCTATTCTCATGTTTCCCTAGGTATGCATGTTTATGAATTTTGTTTTAAACTTCATGTTTTAGTCGGAGTCAATTACTCTTTATGTTTTATGAATTCTATGTGTTTTGCATTCATATTGGGTTGTTAGATCTTTCCCTAATCTACTCATGCTTAGCTGAATCTCATTCGAGGACGAATATTTCCAAGAGGGAGATATTGTAACACCTCAAAAGTGCATAGCTCAGTTCACGTTGAAAAGTTACAAAAAACAGTTGAAGTCTGCTGATTTTGGGTTTCATGAGGCCCTTGTATGGGCCGTAAATAGGTTGACGACTCATGGAAGCCGATCATGGTTGCCCCTCAGAAAAATGAGTTTTAGTAAATATGTCACGACCCAAGGGTACCCCCTAGATGTAACAAGGCGTACAAGACCCTGAGAGGCCTCATACAAGCCCCTTAGCATATCATAACATAAGATAATAGAAAATGGTGCAGAAATTTAAAACATTTTCAACCATATCAAAGTCTATAATAAAACAAAGCGGAAGTCTTTAACATTTGTCTCAAACCATCTAATACTTGAAAGACTTAGGGATGCTGCCCAAACAAAAGTTCTAAGCATAAAATAAAAAACATAAAGGAAAGGTGGTCAAATCCTCGATGCTATGAGGACTCACCAAATATTCACTTGCTTGCTCTACTAATATTCTAGCCACGAGTGTGAGAATCAATATCGCCGGACCCTACATTTGATAAGATTGTAGGCAAGAGTATGTGTTAGTATAAAATGTACTAAATATGATGGCTAGCATAAATCATCAACATAAACATAATGTAGGCATTAGTCAACATAAGACATATATCATGATCATAAGAGATACAACATAAGACATAGGCAATAAGCATAAGAGACAATAACATAAATCATAAGCATATTCAATGCACATAAATCATCATCTCATAAGAGGAACATTTCTCAAGTAACCTCAACATATTCTTACTCAAGACTTGAGTCATCACCTCTAGTCATACATATCAAGGAAGGCAACTCAAGCAACAATCCAAGCTAATCTAACATCATACAAGTAAACCTCATATCAAAACATACTTACAATACTTCCTTGAAGTAATCTTGTTTCATCATAAACATGATACTTTGATTATGGACTTGTCCCTCTTTAGTCATTCTTACTAATCATGGAGGAGTATCTATTTACTAGTCCACAACACATCATCACTCATGAATGGTTACGATTTACCAATTCAAGGCTATCAAGAAAAACACCTCATCATGCTAGACCAAGCTATCATGGAAAACATCCTCTCATGCAAGTTCAAGCTACCCAATGAAGGGTACTATTGCTCAATCCAAGCTATCATGAAGTGGTGTGGCCTTACCAAGTCAAGCTATCATGCAAGCATTCTATTATGCTAGTTCAAGCTACATTGGAAGGGTACAATTGCTCAATCCAAGGCTATCCATGAGTTCTACTATCTCAAGCTACCATGCATGATCTTGTCTTACTAAGTCAAGCTATTCATGAATGAGTATCATATCACTACTTCAAGCTAACATAGTTCATACATTCTCATTACTCATGAAAGGGTGCCCTTGGCCTATTGATTCAATGTACATCATTACTTTAACTCTTTAAACCATGTGTGAGCAACTATCACCATGATCTATTTATGATGGTTCTTGAGCCTTTGATTCAATTAGGTGAGAAAAACCTTTCAACCTTAGAACCATCATTATGTGAGCACTCTTTCACATTAATGTTCATATGTGTTCATGAGAGTGTCCTTTCAAGCAACACAACATCAATATCATAATCATTGACACTATACCCTCAAAGTGTTCTTAAAACATTTACATAGATTCTATAAGATATGCATAATCTCGTACACTCATAATATAGGTCATGTGGGTAAATCCTTCCACAACAACTCTATCTACAATTCATCAACCACATAAGTTTCACTCTCAAAGCCTTAACATTCATAGTTCGTCATATTAGCTTTACTCTTAAAGACTTAGCAATTAACATTCATAACCACATGCCTTACTCTCAAATCAATACTTCTCATAATCATCACATATGCCTAGATCTCAAGACATTCTAATCACATTATTCATTCTTAAGCAATTCTAATCATATATCATCATATAGGCTCAATCTCAAGCACTACTAATCATGATTCATCATATATACTTTAGTCTAATTCAATTCATATATATAAGCTTTACTCTTAAGAAATTCCTATCTATATGCCTCAATCTCAAGCAATCTATCATGTATTTCATCAATCCTAGAAAATTATCTCTAAATCATCAATTTCCCCTTTCATGACATAAAATCCAATTTCATCAATTCTAGGTTAGAAACAAGGATTAGGCATGGGTACATGTAAATTCATCCTATAAACATGAAATTCTACCATAAACAATCATAAGCAACCATAATCCACTCAATTGGATCAATATTCATCATAACCCATAACATTGGAAGAAACCCTAACTAGACTTGAGGAATTCTTCTTCAAATTGTGGAATTCTAGGGGACTCCATGGCTGAAAGGATTCCATGGATGAATAAGCCATCTGTCACGCCCCAAGCCTATACCCTGGGCGGGACTGACACTTGAAGACCATTGCTGGCCCTAAGCGAACCCTTGGCCTGGCTTACTAACTCAGCGGAAGACTTAACTCATTACATAAGCATTTATGAAGGAACTAGAATGTCATAAAGGAACATTCAACTGGCCATTTAGGCAAACTCAAGTCTTTAACATAAGAAATGAAGAGTATAGACAACTGAAATAACTAACTGACTACCTGTCTATGAAGCCTCTAAAACAACTGAGATGGATGTTGGGACAAACCCCACAACATCCTAATGGACTAAACTAGAAACCAATGAAAATAGATCCTCCGGAATGCAAGGAGGCTCACCGACTGACTCTGAACTGCTCACTGGATCAACGGTGCGCTGGAATGTTGATCCTAGTTACCTGCGTCTGCATCACAAGACGATGCAGGCCAACTGGCATCAATACATTGAATGTACGAGTATGTGAATTGGAATGCTAAAACAACCTAGGCTTGAAAGGGAATCTGAAAGAAACACTTACCTTGGCTCTTCTCAACTCAACATAACTAAACTCATTTCAATATAAAGCAATTTAAGACAAGTGCAATATAAAGCAAAGCTATTTAAAAACATGCTACAAGTGCACTATAAAGAAAAGTTGTTTAAAAACATGATGTCAACCCTGTGTATATACAAGGATACAACATAACTCTAAAATGTATGTAAA